TATTATAGTGCTGTAACAAATGATGAAGGGGATAGTTTCAGAGAAACCTAGGAAGATGTGTAGGAACTGATACAGAATGAAGTGAGCAGAACCAGGAAAACAATTTATAAAGAATGACACCAGTATGGCAGGCTTTGAAAGAACTTTGAAAGAACTAGGTATGATCAGCATAATGACCAACCACAATTCCAGAGAACTAATCTTGAAACATGCCACCTACTTTCTGATAGAGGTGAAGGACTTAATTTGCATAACAAAACATGTATTTGGGATCACGGCCAATGCAGAAATTTGTTTTCCTTGACTATACAGGTTTGTAACTATCATTTTGGTTTTTGCTCATTCTTGATTGAGGGGCTGGAGGTGAGAGGGAGAAAAGTCAATTCTTTGCTAATTTAAAAAATGATATATATTTAGATATACATATGTGTATATACATAGGTATGTATTTTTTTTTTAAAGACACTAATAGATTTGAGTGTGTCTATGGGAAGGAGAAGAGCCTTTAGTCTATGCCATTTAAGGATCAGTTGAAGAAACATGTTATATTGAGCTTGAAGAAGAACAGATCCAGGAAAGACATGCTGACTTTTTTCAAGTCTTTGAAGGACTGTCCTGTTGAGGAGATCTGTTTGCTCCAAGGGCAAAACCAGGAGCAGTGGGTCAGAGTTGTAAAGAGGCAAATTTAGACTGGATATCCAGAACCTCTTCTTAACAATCTGAGATCTAGTGAGCTGTTGCAGGAGGTGGCAGCTGACCCTCCATGGAGCTAATCAGGTAGAAGCAGGATGGCCACTGGTACTATAGTCCTCTCCTGTGTGGGCTGGAGCATTCTTCTAATACAAATTCTGTTTCTACAATAAAGCTAATCTGATGTGAAGTGCAATGACTTGCTGACCCTGGTGCAAAAGGAGAGTGTAAGGGGTGAAAAGAAGATGCTATGAGAGGCTAAATTAAATTGTGAGAATACCTTTCCCAGATGATCTCAAACATGTGAATGTGGGATTCATAAAATGAAAGATTGCTGGTCATATACTAATTACGATTAACCTCATCTTCTAGCTGTCTCTCAATCTCTACCACATCTATGCTGCTTCTTGTTTTCTGCAGTCCACAGCTTTTTCTTGATTTACTTCTTCACTCTCCCTCCCTCTATTACATATGACTTGCACACTTTTCTCTTCCTATTTTTTTTTTACTTTCCTTGACTGGAATAATGTATTATTGGTGCCTTGCCTATTTGCTGTATTTGTTTACCTTCTGTTCCTTTTGTCTGAGGTGATTACAAAGCAAATGGTCTTCTCATGCCTGTTCTTTCCCTCTGTTTATCTTATCCCTCTATTTACTGATTTATGCATATATTTTCTTTCTCAGTAAAATATAAGCTCCTTGAGACCAGGACTAGATTTGCTTTTTCTTTTTATTTCCAGTACTTAGCACCAAGTTTGGCACATAGTAAGCCTTGAATAAAGGTTTGCTCGTACTACTGTTCATACTACAAACTTACCTTTCAAAAATGAATGAGGAAATGGAACCATACACATAGGCAAAATATAGGAGAGTTTCAACAACAATATAGAAAATTAAAATCTGTCCTTAAACCAAATGTGATTGCTAGAACATCATAGGATCATAGATTTTTATTTGGAAGGGAACTTATAGGTCATCTACTTAAAATCCTTCATTTTAAGGTGAGGAGAGTCATTCTAAAACCTTAATAAAGAATTGTTAGATGATTATTAATATGGTTTTGTGAATGTTATTGAGAATGTTCTAAAACTTTTTTCTCACCATGCAACTTATTGTATTATATTATTAAAACTAAAGGTAAGGAAGGATGCTCATAAATTGAAGAGTGGCTGAACAAAGTTGTGGTATATGAATGTAATGGAATATATTATTGTGCTGTAAGAAATGATGAAGGTAGTGGTTTCAGAGAAGCCTGGGAAGATTTATATGAACTGATGTGGAATTGGATGAGCAGAACTAGGAGAGCAAGCTACATAGCAACAGCTATATTGTGAAGATAATCAACTTTGAAAGACTTAGTAACTCATCAACAGAGTGACCAAGCCCAGCTCCAAAGGACTCACGATCAAACCTGCTCTGCACATCCAGATAAAGAGCCGATGGACTCAGAGAGCAGATTGGAACGTTTTTTGCCTTTCTTTTTCTTACCTTTTTTTTTGGGGGGGGGGGCGGGGGAGACATGGCTAATGCAGAATTTGTCTTGCATGACTATACAAATTTTTAATAGGTTTTGTTTTTCTTCCTTCTCATTGAATGAGGGAGGGAAAGAATTTGGAACCAAAAAAAAAATAAGAATGTAAAAAGTCTCTGTGCTTTAAAATATAGAAAAATTTAAAATAATTATCAAAAATAATAAAGATAGGTATATTTTTATTCTACATACAATATGATGAAATTCTATTTTGCTGTAAGAAATGACTAACAGGATGGTTTCAGAAAAATAAAACTAATATGTACCACTGTAGTAGCTGGCTAATGTGTCACAGTACATATAGCATTCACTTTTTACCCATTAGCATATTTGGCTTAAATTTATAAAAAAAAGTTATGTTCTTTTGTTAATATCATAATACCATCAAAGGGATTATCTTCATATTCTATATTATTTCTTTTGAGTAATAATTGACCTTAATTGTATAGTACTGATTGTAATGTTAAAGATATTGAATATCTTCACTGCTAAAGAAAATTTCAGTCTTTACACTACAGATGAATATTACATTGGAGTGGAATGCATATCTGTTTTAATGTTTTTTTACGAAGTTATGTTGTGATAAATTCACTTTTTTCCCCTTTTTTTTCCTAATGCTGATGTGACTCTTGTCAAGTTGCATAGTTTCCTGAAATTCGCTTCCTTCACCTTAAAATGAAGGATTTCAATTGGGTTACCTCTAAGTTCCCTTCCAACTCAAAATCTACGTTCTTATAATCTTCTAGCAGTCACATTTAGTTTAAGGATAAACTTTAATTTTCAATGTTGTTGAAACTCTCCTGTGTTTTGCCTATGTGTATTTGATTTCATTTCCTCATTCATTTCTGTAAGGTGCGATTTGAGGCTATAGATAACACTTGTTCATATGTTTTTCATGAAGTTAAAATAGACAAAGCATTAGAATCAATTATCTCTTCAAGGGACAGAACTAAGATCCTGTGGCTCTGTTCCTTTCTCCAGTTGCATGATGATGCCTCTGTGTGTGTGTGTGTGTGTGTGTGTGTGTGTGTGTGTGTGTGTGTGTGTGTGTGTGTGTAGAGAGAGAGAGATAAAATGAATCATCAATTGTTGGAGCTTTAGTAAACTATTTTTCTGTCCCTGACATATTGCAGCATCACCATATGTCATAGGTTTTTGTTTTCCCTGCAGTGATACTATTCATAAAATACAGTATGTTTCTAAGTTACCTTTAAAACACTATTTAATTAAACTCCCTTCATTCATTTGATAAGTTAAATATTTCTCTATAATATGCATTGTATTTAGGGTGCTGTGGAAAGTATAATAATAGATTAATTCCTTTCGGATTCTTTTCAAGTTGCTTTTGGTATCCACAGTTAAGAAATGAAATTCACAAGCAATATATACATAGCCAACACTCAGAAATAAATGTTATTTATTTAAAAAGTTGTATATACTACTTTAGTTCCAGTCTCTTTTGAATCAGAAATTTTTAAGACTGAACCTAACTTCCAGTTTGTATACGTGTGACAATTGATTATGTTGGCCCCATTTGAACATTCAGGCATCTTAGAAATGTTGCCGCCTATTGGGGAGCTTTTCTTGTGGACATATGTAAAATTGTTTTCCATGCTGTGTTTTCACTGAAAAAGTACATAGTTTTCTTCTGTCAGAAATTCTTGTTAGAACACTGTAGAGATATGCTTCAGGATTCTTTGTCTGTGAAATGAAAACCATAATAATACCATGTACTTTAAAAATATATCATAGACAATTCTACATAGGATAAGAGTAAAATAAGTTTTCTAACTGACATTTATGCATCACTTTATGGCTTAAATCGTACGTGGTTTATGATGGTCTCCCTAGTATTGAAATCTTCTTTAACAAACCAATTGGCAAAGAAAATTGACTTACCTTTTTGAAAGGATTGTTTGTCACAGATGGCAACAATAGAGTAATTACTTTCATCTCTAAAAATTTCCATGTTTAACTTTTTTGCTGACATGTTTATGAATTATTAAAAAAATCTTTTTGGACTTCAAGGATAAATTGTTTCAAAAATTGAACAGCAAGCTTTTTTGAAGAACTCGTCACCTTAAATTCAAATTTTAATTCTGAACTTATTAACATATTCTGCCATATCTATTCCGTGTTCTGTTTTTTATAGAATATTATCAGAACTGGACTGAGCAGGGCTGCATCCTTTTCAGTGTTAGAAAACAGATAGAACTGAGACAGTTGTTAACTGAGGCCACTTATTACCATTTGTCAGTGAATACAAAGGATACAACTTCTAATTTCTTCTCTTCACCTATCTCACCCAAACACATTTAAGAGAATGCAGAATCATAGCACTTTAAATTTGTCTTGCTACTTTCATTTGGCTTTTTGAATTTTCAAACACTATATTTGTTTCAGCAGTTTGCAAAACTCCATGCTATAATTGGAACTACAAGTATATTGTTTAAATCTTCATCTTGTCTCATTGAAGTGTATAATCATTTTAAAAACATGTTGGTCTTTCCTAAATACTCAGCCCTGAGTAGATAACACGATAAGAACAAGAGATTTTGCAGTACAACAGAAAACATGTGGTGGTGAAAATTAAAAGTAAAGTACTGTTTGACTGTTGAAGTGAGAGAAAGTTGATAGAGATACTCTTGTACTTTCAGAGATCAGCGAGTGGATTAAAGGACTGATTAAAAGTGAAATTTCTGGAGCTTTATGATACTCAAACAGAAAGCTCAGTCTCTATTATTACTAATGCATAAATGTTTTCTGCTTTGTTTCATAGCCACCTGCTGAACAAGCCAAAGCTAGACTACAACTGGTCCTTGAAGCTGCTGGTAAGTATTGATAATTATGTTTATTAAACAGAAAAATGAAGGAAAAAATGAATTTTGCCAATGTTGTATTTTAAATGCTGATACTGAAATCAAAGCTTTGCAAAGACCCTTTCTCCTCATTCCCAAATTTAGGCTTACCAACCCCCTAAACAACCATAATGCAGAGCCTGAAAGGGCGGTCTGGGTAGTCACTAAAATCATGTATTCTGTTCAGGTATTTCTTGTTGGGGTACCACCCCCTCCCAGGTCATATTCTTTCCTTTTGTTTTTAAAAATGAATGTTCTATTTTAAAAGATATTCTGCTTTTGCACTGCATTGTAATTTCATTAAAACAAAATATCTTTCCTGTCCTTTGGGGGAAAATGAGGAAAAGGATAACTGGCAGGTGGGGGGGAATGATTTCCTTTGAATCTCTTCCTGTTTCTATGAGACCTCCAACACTATAATACATATTCTGACCCATTCAGTAAGAAAACATTTATTAAATTTCTACTTTGTGTCAGGCACTGTCCTGAATGTGGGGCTATAAACAAAGGGAAAGGACAGTCTGCTTTCAAGGGGCCCACAATTTAATGGAGGAGACAACGTTTAAACACCTATGTACAAACAAGGTACAGACAAGATAAATTGGGAAGAATCAACAGAAGGAAAGCATCAGGAAAGGCTTCCTGTAGAAGGTGGAATTTTAATTGGAACTTGAAGAAAGAACTGATAGATAGAAGGTGGTGACATGGAAGGAGAGTGTTCCAGGCATCAAGGCCAGCCAGACAGAGTGGGGAGATGGAGTATCTTGTTTGGGGAACTTGATCAAGGAGGCCACTGTTCATAGAGTATGTGGAAGGAGGAGGAGGAAGGGTCAGATGGAACAAGACTGGAGTGGGGAGCAGGTTGTAGAGGACTTTGAACCCCAAACAGAGGCTTTTATTTTTGGTCTTTGAGGTCATATGGACCACTAGAGTTTTTGAGTAGGGGAGTGACATGGTCTAGCCTGCATTTTAGGAAAATCACTTTGACAGCTGAATGGAGAATGGATTGGAGTGAAAGACTTGTGGCAGACAGAGCTACTAGGAGGCTATTGCAATGACCTAGGCATGAGGTGTGAGGCTTGCTTGCATGAGGTGACCGTGTCAGAGGAGAGAATGGAGCATATGTGAGGGATGCCTTGAAGGTCAGCTAAACAGGCCTTGGCAGCAGATTGGATTTGGGGGATGAGAGGGCTAAGAGTCTCGGATGACGCCGAGGTTGCCAGCCTGGATGACTAGAAGGATCTTGGCACCATGGAAGTTAGGAAGAAGGGAAGATTTTTGGGGGAAAATACTGATTTCAGTTTTGGACATGTTGAATTTAGAGTCTGAGACGTCCAGTTTGAGATGTCTAAAAGGCAGATGGAGATGCAAGACTGGAGATTAGCAGAGAGGTTAAGGTTGGATAAGTACATTAAAAATATGAAACGCTTCACAAATTTGATTTGCTGCAGGGAGTCTGCACAAGCCACTTAACTCATGCCATATTTCAGAATAGGGAATGTTCATCCCTTCATCCTGCAGCCTGGAAGTCTGTGTCTTCTTCCAGTTGTCTTTTATGGACTCAATACTAACAGAGGCAATAATGTGAGGGCTATGTGTGGACCAGCTTGTACCCTTTTAACTCCTACTTTACTCTAAGCAAGCAATATGGCTTTAGGAAAACTAATATGATTAATACATTGAATACTGGAGGATCCGTAAAGTATAATTAAAGTGTGAATGGTGTATGCTTCTTAACTTGATATAGCCTTTGAAGGAACACTATTTCATGAGGTCTAAGTAATATCTGGTTATACTAGTTTACTGTGGCACTATTTGAAATTAACTTATGATGCAAGTATAGAAATTGACAACCCTCCCCAGAAATAATTACCATTATTAATCACTCTCATTTTCATGGCATATCAAATCTTGTTCTATTTAATATCAAATCTGTTGTTATGTGATAAACGTGAGTTTTTCAAAATGTTCTAATAAAAAGTTTTGTTAGCATTTCAACACAAATATATGCATGTATGTGTGTATGTATGTATATATAACGAAGTAACAAAAGTTAAATAATTTAATCACCCTTCATATACATATTTCATGCACATGCTTATGTGATATTTTCTTTTTTTAATGTTTCTAGTTTTTTGAGTGTTGGATATCCTAAAGGACAATATTTATTTTGATATGTTCCCCAAAATCATAATTTTCAGCAGTACAACTACAGGGTTTTATTTCATAGTTTCAAATGTATGTATTTTTCTCTATATCTTTTAATATGTCTTTGAAGCACATAATTATAAAGCAGATGTGACAGCCTGGATCTCAGAGTACATAATTTGTTTATGCTGCACACAGCTGTCTCTCTTCATTTTTTAATTTAGCATTCTTAAAATATATTAAAAATACTATGTGTTATATATCATTTCAGACTAGATCCTGTGGATTTGAGTGACATTCAAAATATTCGCAACATTCTAAATTTTAAAACCCACATTTGGATTATGGAATTATGCTGAATGATACAAACCACCTGCCCAGGAATTAATTAGACAGAGTTGCCTCTTAACATGTATTATGCAAACTGTTTAGCAGAATAATAGCCATATTATAATGTATAAAATGCTCACCCATTGCTTATTACTAAATGATATTGAGGGTAAGAAATGTATTTTTCTTCAATATGAAGATTTTGCCCTTTGATCTAAAGAAGGGGTCAGAGTGCGTTTTAAAAACAACAGTGGATTTGTGGACCCTTTTATGCTTTGGGTTGAAATGTGACTTCCCTCCATATTCAGTGACAGAAGTGCCTATTATTTCTGATTTTGAACCTTTTAAAACAATATTCTATATACTAGGCTATAAGAAACCTTTTAAACAGTTTTACCTGTAAAATTCATATTTGCAAAAGTCTAATTTGTAAGATCCTCAGGTATAATATCTCCCTGGCAAACAAAATCTCACAGGCTGCCTAGGAAACATGAGCTGAGTCATGAGTGCACCCTTAGGGGCTGTTTGAAAATTACATGCTGAGAGACTGCCTGTCTCTCCTTGAGGCTCCAGTCTTTCAGTGTTACATATGCAACTTAATTTGTCCCCAAATAAATACCCATGTGCCACAGAGAGCAAATGTTTTTGACTCTAAAAGTAAGGGCATTTATAATATCATTTATATGTGCCTCCCACTGCACCACCCTGTGCCCTGGCCTATCACTAGCCCTGGTGTTATGGACAGGCCCTCCTCATTTCTTGCCTCTTCATGTTTTGCTTATCTGCTTGCTCTAGTTTCAGGGAGTGGTTAGCAAAGGTCATCATCATGCCACACTCTGTACCATTCCGAGCTGAGATGCGCTACCATAATGAAATAAAGATACGAAAGCAGAGCTCTCTCTTCCACAGACATTCTTAAACCACCTGTAACAAGTTGAACTCTGGGGGAGATATCAGACACACTGTTCATGCCCTCATGAAGCTTAGAGTTGTGTGTCTCTGACACTTCAAAATTGATGACCATCAAGTCTTGGGCTAAGGAAACCACAAAGAGGTAACTGAGGCCTGGAGAGATCCAGTGAGCTACACAGTGTGAGGGTTCAGGCCAAGGGGCCATACAAGAAAGCTCAAAGGCAAAACCAGGTCAAGACAGATGTAGGGTTGCCCCTCAAGGCACACTGGCAGCTGAAGTCAACTTCCTCTCTGTTCTCCAGGCTTGGCAGGAGGAACCTGTGCTCCCACACAAGCATCAGGCTTAAGGCTTCCACTGAAGTGAATTACAGAATTTTTAGAATTTTCAAAAGCATTTTCAGAATTCTCAGAAGCATTTTCAGAAGCAGATTGTGCTTTCAGAAGGTGACTTAGGCCTAACTCTTTGTACCAAGGAAAGAAACTGTCTTGAGGATTCACTGCAAAGCTTATTTCAGACTTTCTGAACAAGATGATTCTCCAATGATTGGAAATATTTGTGCCAGAATTAAGAGAGAAAATTCAAAGGTGGTATACCTTTCTCATTTCCCAGCTCATCAGGTTCATCCTTTTTCCTTGGCCCTGGTCAGAGCAGAATTCAGTGAGACCATAACTACCAAGAAGAATATCCTTGTATTTACAATTTTTAAAAATAACTTTTTGGATACTAAAAGAAGATGAGAGGCAGAAAGATGTAGTAGATTAGAATTGACCTTAGATTCTAGTCCTGAGCATAAATCTGGCCTTGGACACATTCTGCCATTGGAAGCCTAGGCAAGTCACTTCACCTTGAAAATTGCCTCTGTTAATTCTCTAAACTCTCTTCTAGAATGATAAACTAGAGAATTGTTGCTGAACTGCAGTGGTAGGCATGTCCTCATCAGGATTTCCCTATAGCACTGAACTCTGGTTCTTTCTTCTCTCAAGAGAGGAGGCCCCGTTGTGGGTAATTGGGCAGCCTATAATCATGCTAATTAAGGGTGGCTATGGAGGAAAGAACAGAGTCTTAAAGGATGACTTCCCTGCTGTTCATGTTGGCATTGCCCGATATTCTGAGCCACCACTGGGCTAGGTATGCCATCTTGATCAAGAACATTAAGAGGTAGAAGATAAGGCCAAGGAACTGATATTTGGAGACGGAAGAGCTCCGTGGGGGTGTGAAGAGATAGGGAAATGCTGATTGAAGTGGCCCTCCTAGAATGCTCTGGTGGACCAGAGTTGGAGGAGCGATCGCTACTTCCTACAATCAGATGGTTTTGCAATGCAGCCTGGCCACTAGTGACTAGTAGGTTATGATAGTGGTTGTAGGAACCACCATTTGGGACTTTCATATTCTGTAAGAGGAACCAGGGCTTGGGTAGACTGGTACTGGCCGGCACCTAGACGCTAGAAAGAGTCACTGGAGGAAGACATGCATTTGGGCCACATTCCAGCATCTGGCAATACCAAGAAAGTGAGACACACACACACTGGTCAGCATCACAGAGGTCCAGCAAGGAGTCAGCAGGTAGATTTTCCTAATAATA